ATTTGATAGCGGGGCCCACAAATAAAAAATCTAAATTCATGGTTATATTCAGCATATCAAAGAACCCCATATATTCAATTTTTGTTGAAATCAAAACAAAGTTTAATTTTGGACCCCAACTTGGACCAACTTGAAAACTGGGCCCATAATCAAAAATCTAAACACATGTTTAGATTAAGCATATCAAAGAACCCCAAGAATTCAATTTTTGTTAAAATCAAACTAAGTTTAATTTTGGACCCTTTGGACCTCAATGAAGACCAATTTAAAAAACGGGACCCAAATTAAAAATCTAAAAACACGGATAGATTTGGCATATCAAAGAACCCCAATAATTCAATTTTTGATGAAATCAAACAAAGTTTAATTTTGGACCCTTTTGACCTCAATATGAACCAATTTGATAGCAGGGCCCACAAATAAAAAATCTAAATACATGGTTAGATTCAGCATATCAAAGAACCTCATATATTCAATTTTTGTTGAAATCAAACAAAGTTTAATTTTGGACCCCAATTTGGACCAACTTGAAAACTGGGCCCATAATCAAAAATCTAAATACATGGTTAGATTCAGCATATCAAAGAACCTCATATATTCAATTTTTGTTGAAATCAAACAATGTTTAATTTTGGACCCCAATTTGAATCAACTTGAAAACTGGGCCCATAATCAAAAATCTAAACACATGTTTAGATTCAGCATATCAAAGAACCCCAAGAATTCAATTTTTGTTAAAATCAAACTAAGTTTAATTTTGGACCCTTTGGACCTTAATGTAGACAAATTTAAAAAACAGGACCAAAAATTAAAAATCTAAATACACGGTTAGATTTGGAATATCAAAGAACCCCAATACTTCAATTTTAGATGAAATCAAACAAAAAGTTTAATTTTGGACCCTTTTGACCTCAATATGAACCAATTTGATAACGGGGTCCACAAATAAAAATTCCAAATACATGGTTAGATTCAGCATATCAAAGAACCCCACATATTCAATTTTTGTTGAAATCAAACAAAGTTTAATTTTGGACCCCAATTTGGACCAACTTGAAAACTGGGCCAAAAAATCAAAAATCTAAATACATGTTTAGATTCAGCATATCAAAGAACCTCATATATTCAATTTTTGCTAAAATCAAACAAAGTTTAATTTTGGACCCTTTGGACCTTAATGTAGACCAATTTGAAAACTGGACCCAAAATTAAAAATTTAAATACACTGTTAGATTCGGCATAACAAATAAATAAATGTGATCAAAGATTTTACAAATCTAATGCGCCATACTGTGCAATTAAAGATTACTTCTTGAAATTTTTCAATATTTGAAATTTGAAAAAAAAATAATATTTGAAGAATAATTCTTTTTAATTTCTGAAATCTGAAATGAGAAAAAATTGACCCCCCACAATTTCTTTTTATCCCCCCCCCTTTTTTTCCCCAAAAAAATTCTTTCCCTCAAGATATGGTCATAATCTCAATTCAAATTTCCAATGGAGTTGGCAACCATAATTACCCATTTAAATTTACCATAGTGCTAACTTAATCTATTTTATAATAGAATTAAAAATATACTGTCAAATCTTTCATATGGATTTTTTTGTAAAAAAAAAAGATGCAACATTTGCAGATATTTTTACTGGTCTTCCTTTATAGATATGCATTTCTTTAAACATAATTTAAAAGCAGTGAAAGGGAAGTAACCAAAACGTTGTATTTTGATTACCTCCCTTACACTGTTTTAAATTATCTTTATTGTTCATTAACCATTACTTTATACATAATTTAAAAGCAGTGTAAGGGAGATAATCTCAATGATGTATTTGATTTATCTCCCTTACACTGCTTTAAATTATGTTTTGTACTAAAGTATTTGTCCATTAACCAGGACAACCTTGTTTTTCCCCCTTTTTTGCCCCTAATTCCTAAACGGTTTGAGCCATAACCCCCAAAAGCAAATCCTAACCATCCCTTTGTGGTATGGAAACTTGTAGTATAATTTCAGAGAGATCCATACACCGTTCCACAGTTATTGTCTGGAAACTAGAAAATGCTTATTTTTGGCCCCTTTTTCCTCAACTGTTGGTACCATAACCTCCAAAATCAATCCCAACCTTCCTTTTGTGGTATTTAACCTTATGGTCAAATTTCAAAAAGATCCATTCACTTAAACTTAAGTTAGAGTGCGAAAACCAGTATGTCTTCGGACGACGACGCCGGACGACGACGACGACGCCAACGTCATACCAATATACGACCACAAAATTTTTTTGCGGTCGTATAAAAACAAGAATAAACATTTTTTTTAACAAAAAGTCGTTAAATTATCACACTTTGGACAATATTTCATATTCTTTTACTTTATTCCATTTTCCTTCCTCAATAACAAAAGATAAAAGCATAAGAAAAGAATATGTATCCATAGGACACCGTGCCCTGGTCTGGAAGAAGAAAAAGCTTTGAACTTAAAATATAAGAAGGGCAGACCATTTTGTAATACCCTTGTCCTCAGTGGTAAATGACGATCAACAAACTTACCATATTACTTCAACCAGCATTTCATATCAAAATGTAAAACCTGTGATCTGTTGGTCTTCCTTAACATTTGATTATTATGTCCTCTATCATGCAAGACCATAATAAGGATGTCTTCTAGATCTATGACCTACATAACTAATATGAAGTAGCACATGTTGACATATATGCTAGGAATATTTAACTTTTAATTCAAAGTACTGGTATATGAAAACAGGAAGTAGATGTCTGAAAGTGCCTTATTTTTTGTTCCTTGGAAAATCCAACACATATATGGCCATTATGTGTAAGAATAAATAAATATTCATTTAACACAAAGTTGACGAGCAATGGATGTAAAAACACATCAGAGGGTATATCATGATCACATGACACTATATTTCAGGAAGCTTGGATTTGTAGTTCCTGAGAAAAATGCAAGAAAAATTTTATGAATAGCTATTATGCATTAGATTATTTAAGTACAAAATGTATTTTGTAAATAGGACAATGTAGGAAGTCGATCATAACATATGTGAAAAGGTGTCACACAGTATAGCATGCTCACATGAAGTTAATACCAAATTGAAGGAACTCTTCATTTGTATTTCCTGTGGAAAATGCTATAAGAATTTCATGAGACTGACAGACATATAGGGACAGAAGTAAAGCAGTGTACTAAACCCCCACCCATCCTGTCTTTCCCAGCATGGGTATAACAAAATCTTTTACAAAAGTTTTACAATGTTTTAAAAGAGGGACGAAAGATACCAGAGGGACAGTCAAACTCATAGATCGAAAACAAACTGACAACGCCATGGCCAAAAATAAAAAGACAAACAGACAAATAATAGTACAGATTTAAGTTACTATTTATATGCGGGCAAATATTATTATCGTAAATCATTAATTTATCAAAAATACATCTAAAATTATCTTCTATTGTTCAATATAGAAATTCTTGTTTACATCAATATTATTTCACTTGCCAAGGGTTTTTGCAATTAATCAAATGTAGGATGTAGGAATTGTTGATCAGTATTTTGGTGTGAGAGCTTCCAAAGTTTAATACATATTTTATTAATATTAACACCCCTGACTGTAATAAACTGATTACACTTTATATCCTACAAAACAACAGGATCCTTGACTATAACCAGTACAGTTTAGTAACAAGTCCCTTTCATACCACATCACAATAAAGACACATTGACATTTATTTGAATACCAATAATTACTTTCTGAAAGTGTTAATTGAAATCCAATTTATCTTCATGAATCAGTTCAATACTTATGGCTTCTATGGACTTTTATGTAAACTGTAATACTGTTATAATTGGAGTCCAAAGTTAATGACTGAAAGCACATAACAGATGACTTGACAGTCAATACCTTGATGTTGATAAAAAAGGAGGGAGACAATACCAAAGATACAATAACTCAGAAATCATAAGTTGAAAGTAAAAACTTACAAAAACTATGAAAAACACTTCAGAAAGCAATACATGATCAATACACCTATAGTGTTTGTGTGAAAGAAATTTGCAAACTGATTAGAGTTTCTGAAATTTTATAACATTTGCTAGTCATAAAGATTGATTTGCCCCCTGAAAAAAATTTACCAGTTAAAATCTTTTAAATCTTCAAAGGTAACAACTTTGCCTATGAATGAATGAGACATGGGATAAATGTTAAAGAGACAGTAACTGAACTAGATATGGACAATGCCCCCCCCCCCCCCCCCCCCCCCCAATTTTCTGCTCTGCCATATGCATGAGTATAGTTCCACATATTTTAGATTTGACAAACAGTAATGTTTGCATACAACTTGAATTATTACGCTTTCTGTAAGACACAAATGATGCCCCGTCTGACCAAAAAAATGACTAAGTCCAACTACCTGTCATTTTCAGAATATTTGGAAAAAAAATCCAAATCCTGTGGCCATGCACACCTCCATTATGTGTATGAACATCCTACAAAATATTAAAGTTGTACCTCCAAAACTGTTGGAGGTGATAGCCAGACAAACAATGTATCCTAATCCGGACAGACGGACGACGGATGGACAGGGGTAAATTAACATGTCCCCACGACATTTTGTCGAGGGGGGCATCAAAACATAACAATACCAAAAATATATCTGTTCATATAACTGCTTTAATCAGGTTTTAAATTTTATTGAAGAAAGCAGATGATTGTATTGTCACTTAGGGAACTTGTATCGATGGCAGATTTGTGTGAGTTTTCAATTCATTCACTTCTTTTTCTAGGCAATTTAGAACTTGATATATTATATAAACATTGGTTAATTGTTGAATACTACCAATTGACCTTTGGATGTCTTTTAGTTTGTATAGTTGAATTGGTGTTTTCTTGGCATACACCCAACTTCTCCTTTTATTCATATAGGTACTAACTCTAGGCTTACTAATCATTTTAATTAGTGTACTCTTACACTGGGATATGTCAAGGTACTCACAGCATTTTTCTGAACTTTTCAAACACATTTCTATTATGCTCTTCTGTTTTTCGTATGGATTGTTGTTTATCCCAGAACGGTTGTAATGATGTCCCACTGGATATCTCTTTTGTTAACCCTAACCAGCTCAGGTGGTCTACACTCTGAAATTGAAATAACTTCTTCGTAATCGTTAATTTTCTATTGTAATGAAAAACAATTATGTCAATATCAAACTTCTTAAACTTACGCTTTAAAAATGCTTATTGATAACCTAATACAAATTTAGATTCCTACTTATTCCATAGAAAAGCTATACAAATATTTCATTAAGATTCATTGACGATAATTCAATAAGAGAAACCTTACACAAGACCATCTTGTGAAATTGAATGGGAAAGTTCTGCTGAAAAATAAATAGACTGTATGCAGTAACTGTATTCTACAGAAGTGCTGTCTGACAATTTTCTTAATGAACTTTAAGGATATAATTTAGTCAATAACTGGTTTACAGACAGATAATTTGTCTACAATTTAATCTTTTGATTATTCAATGTAAATCTTAATTATACATTGCAGTTCAATTGTCAGCTGTGCATTTAAATAAATTTGTTTGAGAGATAGACATGAACTTCATAAAATCTGTTAAAATTTGCTCAAGTAAACTAGAGGTAATCTGGTTGCAATGTTCACATAATGATACCTCACCCCATGAAACGCAATGGCAAAATCTATAATAGCTTAAGGAAACTCAAAAAATCAAATAGGAGACGCACAATGGCATCACATGGTTAAGATTCTAGGAAAGTTTAATTTAATTCTGATAAGGGGTTTAGGAGGACACAAAGTGACAAAGGAGTACTACATGTGGCTAGATAAACACAATAATTTGCAACAGTAAAACTTAAATAGGCCAAGCTTAAAATACAATACAGTTTTCTCCTAATTTTTGACATTATCAAATAATATAATGTGACTGTCATGTGCTCAATGTTTTTTTGTATGACAATAACAGAGAATAATCTACAGAGAAAGACACTAATAAACTGACATTGACATAAAAAAAAATGTGTCAATCTTGTCAATGGCCATGGTGATTAGCCTAATGGAATAGAAAGCCACTTTCCATGAAATAATAACAAATTTGTTACATTAAATCTGCAATAAATGTATTAACAGCTGGAATAGTGTAAAGTGTTGATATTTTTTTAACCTAACTATAATTTACCTTTTACCTTTTACCTTAATGAGTATGTTGGACAAAATAACAAAATATATCTGACTCATGTTTTGATCAATTTTGTCTTAGAATTTAATAAATAACCAAAAATATGTCTGATCAAAACAAAAATTTGATTGACATGTTTTTTTATTCAATTTTTTTTTGTATACCATTAAAAAGTATCCAAGTTGCCCTTAATGACAAACCTCACTGTTAACATTTCAAAAAATGTGGATAGTGTCCACATGTGGACACAGATGATGCCCCCACTTGCATATCATATAATAGTTATAAAGGGACATACCTGAAGAACGGTAAAATTTTTCTATTTGTAAACACTCATAACTCTAGAACGGTTGTGTATAAGTTTTATAACATTTGGTTGAGACAAACTAAAGTTAGAGAACGGAAACGAAAAAATTCAGCAATTTTTATGTTTATAAAGGGACATAACTCATATTGTATAGTCGGATATAAAAGGGCCTGAAATGAAAAATATGAAACAATTCAATTGGGAAAAAAACCTAGTCCTAATTTATAACAAAATAATTTACAAAAAACAAATATGAAATGTGAACCAAGGCCACCACTGAACTACAGTCAATAGACCATGACTGAGGGGGCGGGCCAAATAATCTTCATGGAAATGAGATATGCCAATGCTTATACAACTGCATACCAAATATCATTGACCTACCACTAGTGGTTCCCCATAAAGTGACCTAATCACAAACTAATACATGTAAACTAAGCAAAAGTTTCAACGTCAATAGACCATGACTGAGGGGGATGGGCCAAATAATCTTCATGGCAATGAGATGTGCCAATGCTAATACAACTGCATACCAAATATTATTGACCTACCACTTGGTTCACCATAAACTAGACCTAATAACAAACTAATACATTGTTGACGCTGCCGCCACTGGAAACAGCATACCTATACATGTTTTGCTTTTTTACGCCGTCAAGATGAGACAAAAATCAGTTGAATAGGGCTTAACTCATCAGATCGATACAAAGCAGAAAAACATCTAACAAAAACACAGGGTATTTATACATACCTAATAACAAAAAAGACACAAAGTACAGATCTGAGAGTACACGCAGTTATTGACAGCTAGATCAAAGCCAATAACAACTAAAAAAAGAAATCATGTATCTAAGACTAAAATATCAATCAGTACACATCCAACATCCAATGGTTTTAGTGTAAAGATGTCATTAACAGTCAGAGAAAAACATGAACTTGTGCCTTATATCACATATAACAGTTTTCTTACATGAAACATGTTTATTTAGACTGTCATATCTTTGCATTAAAATTTTTTTTTAAATCAAGCATATGAATTTTCATATCAGACTGGTAAAAGGCTTGAGAGCTGATACTAATAAATTATATTTAGGGCAGCTATCATGGCTATGTGTGAATTGTGTGTATTGTATTCTAATGAGGTTTCTATTTGTGGCAGTTAACATTCTTAAAAACTTGTAAATTATATCATAATATTCCTACCAGCTGTAGCATAAATACTGTGGATTCATTTATTTTTCGCAGGTACCGATTTTCGTGGATTAAGGAAAAATGTATTTTCCTGGACATTTGATTTCTTGGTTTTGCAAAAGATTTCATATATATACAAGACTATGGAAAATTTTAACTTAGTTGAACTTTAAATTTGCGGCTCATATTTTAACCACTAAATCCACGATAATTGGTCATAATCCACAGTGGTCTTATGATTATAACTTATATAAATACAGTGTAAAATTTCCTTTCATTCTGCATTATACATTTCACCAAAAGATCAGTGTTTGTGTGGTATTTCAATGTTATTATTATTGAAATGTTGTTTCATGTCAAGGTTATTTCCATGAAATGTTAGCATCCAGTATTTAGTCATACAAACAATTTTAAGATTAAATATCTAGTTGAACAAGATAATAACAGTTCACCTTTAAACAAATATCATTTTCTAGAATAAACTGTTTATACGATTTAAAAGAGTGTGGTTTATGTAGAATGTCAAATCCCCAATCTTCTGGCAAATTTTTTGTTGTATAATTTAATGTAAAAAGTCAGATCACTTTTGTTCATGAAATACAAGCGAAAGAAGTACAGCAATATAATATCTAATTAATTGAAAATTGTAGCAAATATTACAATACTGAAGACTCGTTATTATTAAAGTTATTTATTCTATAGGTAAAAGGTAAAGGTGAGCCATGGTTTTTAGTGTTCCAAGAAGTGCAAAATTTTTATAGTCTTTTATGTACATGTATACTTTGACAAAACTACGAAATCAAATATCCAAGAAAATTACATTTTCCTCAATCACCGAAAAATGGAACCCAAAGAAAATGAATGAATCCACAGCTGTACCTGTAATTTTTCTTTGAAATGTTCCACTTTGTTTTGAAGATCTAACACCAATGGAGGCATTTCACCATTTTCTACAAACACTTTCTTTTCTAATTTACCAAGTCTGAAAAGATTGAAAATATTATTCATTATTATTTGCCACACATTTATGTATTGACTATATATATTGTCCAATTCGTCGTTTCAAAATCTAAAGCACTATGGGTAATTTCATTGTTTGTACTCTTAAATGATACCAATGTCATTTCATTGTTTGAGAGGTTATCAGCCAATCACAGTTTATGTATACGCTTTTGAAAATATTCCCCAGAATGCATTAGATTCTGAAATGGCAAATTGATCACTTTCCATTTTTTACCCATTCTAGTTTAAAATTGTTACAGAAATTCTTTCCATCTTTAAAAGAGAGACAAAAGATACCAAAGGGAAATTTAAACTTATAAAATGAAAACATACCGAAAATGTCAATGATAACTACCAAAGACAAACAACAGGTTATAAAACAGAACATAGAAAACTTATTGTCTTATGATACTAAAAGACTAAAGTCAGGGCTACAATATATTGGTAAATATACATATTGTAAACTCAAACTTTTTGTGACTAAATAAGCAGATCTGCAACTGTGACATATCTGGTCAATACATGTATTTGTCATATTCAATTACATAACAATCCTTGTAACCACTAAAATGTCATTATGATATAAGACAGAAAATTGAATCACATATCTGATTTTGATAACCCTTATCATCAATTATAGCTAATTATGTAGAATTTAAAGGCAATACATGTAAAATATGGTTCAAAACATTTTTTTAATTTAAGCTCTAGCTGGATTAAGGTCTCAACAGTTACTGTGAATTCATTAATTTTTGTGCATGCCAATTTTCATGTTTTGATGAAAAATTGTATTTTTTTCTCATATTTGATTTAGTGGTTTTGCCAAAGTCTGCAAAAAAGCCTATAGAAAATTTGTACTTCATTGAACTTTTAATTCCTGATTAAACTGTGCCCTTGAAATTCACAGAAATCGGTATCCCACCAGTAATAATTAATCCATAGCAACACAAAATTTCAACATATTAAAACATCTTCTGGATTAATTATGGTTATATATAATGATTTAAGGAGTCCCTGTTTGTGCTGGCAGTATTTCGTAAAAATTGAAATGTACTTTGACATTTTTAAATATTGTTAACCTGAGGCCTGAAACTACAAGTTTCAATGCTAAATGTTTATCATTCCCAGCTTGATGACCTTGAATTCAAGGGTATTGAGATGCATTATATCACAATTTCCCTCGTTTGTCATGCATTGTTCTTTTGAAGAAAAGGACCTTGATAATATTGTTTCCTTCAAAGGAATTAACTGGAGTAAATTGACTGTTTTTTAAATCTATTTATAGTTAAATGGTTGTGAAGATTGGTGGTAAACGAATTAATTCAATGTGTTTAAGTTACATCTTTGTACACAATTTCAATGGTCTCAGCTGTTTTGTTGTGAAGACATTGAATTTAATGATCTCTTTTACCAATAACACTGGGGAAACAATACATATCTCAAGATGTTCTATACTATCATTGACTGTATTTAAAAGTACTTTTACTCCCTGACCTTGCTGCACTTCAAAATTTTGCCTCATGTGAAGTAATATTACATCATAGGTGATTTCCTTTAATTATCTAAAACAATATTCTCTGCCCTACAACATTTAATGTAAATTCAGAAATTTTTGCAAGCATTTGATATTAAGATCATTTAACAGTGTATACATATGTGAGAAAAATTATAAATTAATGCAATTTCAGGAAATATGCTTCAGACAAATAATAATATCCAATATTAATAAAATGCTCCGCAGGGCGCAGCTTGATACGACCGCAGAGGTCGAACCCTGAACAGTTGGGGGAAGTATGGACACAACATTCAAGCTTGATACAGCTTTGCATTTGGATTGTGATTAAATATTTGACACAGCATAGGTTTCTAACACAGAATGAATGTGGTCTAAGAACTTAAAAATTTTAAATTGGACATTCACCTATTATGGTCCAATATCCAAAATCTAAATACATGGTTAGATTCAGCATATCAAAGAACCCCAAGAATTCAATTTTTGATGAAATCAAACAAAGTTTAATTTTGGACCCTTTTGACCTCAATGTGGACAAAGCTGATAACGGGGCCCAAAAATCAAAAATCTAAATACATGGTTAGATTCAGCATATCAAAGAACCCCATATATTCAATTTTTGTTGAAATCAAACAAAGTTTAATTTTGGACCCCGATTTGGACCAACTTGAAAACTGGGCCCATAATCAAAAATCTAAATACATGTTTAGATTCAGCATATCAAAGAACCCTAAGAATTCAATTTTTGTTAAAATCAAACTAAGTTTAATTTTGGACCCTTTGGACCTTAATGTAGACCAATTTGAAAACTGGACCAAAAATTAAGAATCTAAATACACGGTTAGATTCGGCATATCAAAGAACCCCAATAATTCAATTTTTGATGAAATCAAACAAAGTTTAATTTTGGACCCTTTTGACCTCAATGTGGACAAAGTTGATAACGGGGCCCAAAAATCTAAATACATGGTTAGATTCAGCATATCAAAGAACCCCATATATTCAATTTTTGTTGAAATCAAACAAAGTTTAATTTTGGACCCTGATTTGGACCAACTTGAAAACTGGGCCCATAATCAAAAATCTAAATACATGTTTAGATTCAGCATATCAAAGAACCCCATATATTCAATTTTTGTTAAGATCAAACTAAGTTTAATTTTGGACCCTTTGGACCTTAATGTAGACCAATTTGAAAACGGAACCAAAATTTAAGAATTTGAATACACGGTGAGATTCGGCATATCAAAGAACCCCAATAATTCAATATATCATATAATAATTTACACATCCTGTTTGGTGTGTATCTCCTACCATATCATTATTATTTGATTTTAAATATAAATCAGAAATAACCAACTTAAAATGGAAAATTTTAAAAGAAACAAAAAAACAAAAAAAGAAAAAAAAGGAAAAAAAAAAAAATCCCCCCCCCAAATTTTTTGAACCCCCTTATGATTCATCACCCCCAAACTCAATCCCAGCCTTCCCTTTGTGGTATGGTACCTTGCAGTACAATTTCAGAGAGATCCATACACTTGAACAGAAGTTATTGTCTGGAAACTAGAAAAATGTGTTTTTTGGCCCCTTTTTGGCCCCAAATTCCTAAACGTTTAGGGCAATTACCCCCAAACTCAAACCCAGCTTTCCCTTTGTGATATGGAACCTTGTAGTACAATTTCAGAAAGATCCATACACTTACACACAAGTTATTGTCCTGAAACTAGAAAAATGCTTGTTTTTTGCCCCTTTTTTGCCCCAAATTCCTAAAATATTGAGGCAATTACCCCCATCATCAATCCCAGCCTTTCCTTTGTGGTATGGGACCTTGCAGTACAATTTCAGAGAGATCCATACACTTGCACACAAGTTATTGTCTGGAAACTAGAAAAATGTGTTTTTTGGCCCCCAATTCCTAAACGTTTCGGCAATTACCCCAAACTCAATTCCAGCTTTCCCTTTGTGATATGGAACCTTGTAGTACAATTTCAGAAAGATCCATACACTTACACACAAGTTATTGTCATGAAACTAGAAAAATGCTTGTTTTTTGCCCCTTTTTTGGCGTCTAATTCCTAAAATTTTGAGGCAATTACCCCCAAAATCAATCCCAGCATTCCTTTAGTGATATGGAACCTTGTGGTACAATGTCAGAGAGATCCATACACTAACACACAAGTTATGTCTGGAAGTTACAAAAATGCTTATTTTTGGCCCCTTTTGGCCCCTAATTCCTTTACTGTTGGTACCATAACCCCCAAAATCAATCCCAACCTTCCTTTTGTGGTATTGAACCTTGTGGTAAAATTTCATAAAGATCCATTCACTTAAACTAAAGTTAGAGTGCGAAAACCAATGTGTCTTCGGACGACGACCACAACGTCATACCAATATACGACCACAAAAAAATTTTTGCGGTCGTATAAAAATTACTTTTTATTTTTTGTGAAACCTATATCCCATTGCAAAATGTTCACCATAATAAAAACATCGAAAAAATATTCTGAATTTACAATATACTCTCTGTTCCATTTTTTCTATTAAGCAGCTACCCAATAGTATTCTGTTCTGACATAATGATTTTATGTCTATCCATCAGAGAAGCACTATTATTCATGTCTTGAAATATAATTTTATAACTAAAGAGCCGCCTCAGGCCCCTCATGGGGGTGTCCAAGTAATCACATAATCACAAATTTTTTGCCAATATAATCACATAATCATTTATTATTTTTTAAACAAGATTATCAAACAATCAAAAATAGTCCTAGATTATCAAATACATGTAATCAAATAATCATGAAATATTTGGTCTGGTAATCAAATAATCACTATAAAAACAGCCAAGTAATCACATAATCAAAAACCCCATGAGGAGGCTCACTAAACTATATGCAAATACATCTATCAGAAGTTATAAAAGTAATTTACCTCTGTTGATATTCTCTAAATATTAAAAAAAAAATATTGAAACTTAATACACCAATTACTCTAATTAACAGTTTTAATTATTTACACCACATAAAACAATCAATATATTTGACAGTAGTTTATTTACTTTCAGTGAGATTCTAGGTACAGCTATGATTAATGTAAACCAAGTTTAATATGTTTTTAATCAACCCATTAGTTTCTTCATTGATATCAGTTCTAACGTTACTGTTTGGAATGCCTGTTTACAACTGATCTTTAAGAAATTTACAGCAAAAACAAAATCTAATGCAACAAGAATGCATATGTTTTTGTGCTAACCATTTAACACTTGTAACTCAAGGTACATGTATCTGAAAATAAGAAGTAGGTGTCTGGCACGCATATTACAACTTATTATTGTTGAGCTGCTGACCAATTATGAAGTCATCCGGTTCAGTAGTTTCTGAGAAAAGTGTGATGAAAATATTTGCTGGATGAATGGACAGACACGTGCACAGACAAGGCTGAAGGGTATTGCAATATATAGCTGTCCC